CAGCGCCGCCAGCTCCCCTCAGCATCCCCGGGACTGAGCCCCCGGCCCCGCTCCCCTCAGCATCCCCGGGACTGAGCCCTCCCGGCTCCGCTCCCTCAGCGCTGCCCGGACTGAGCCCCCGGCCCCGCTCCCTCAGCACTGCCCGGACTGAGCCCTCCCGGCCCCGCTCCCCTCAGCATCCCCCGGACTGAGCCCTCCCGGCTCCGCTCCCCTCAGCATCCCCCGGACTGAGCCCTCCCGGCTCCGCTCCCCTCAGCATCCCCCGGACTGAGCCCTCCCGGCCCCGCTCCCTCAGCGCTGCCCGGACTGAGCCCCCGGCCCCGCTCCCCCAGCGCTGCCCGGCCCGACCTCTGCCCGCCCGGCCGGAGGCTCCTCCCGGCGGGACTCACCGAGCTCCCCGGGCCGAGCCGAGGGGAGTGGTGCCGGTGGGAACAGACTGAGAAGCGGCCCCTCGGGCGGCCCCTCGCCCGGCGGGTGCCATGGAGACCCCCGGCCCTCCCATCCCACCCCTGCCATGGCACGGACACCTTCCCTTGTCCCAGGCTGCTCCAAGCCCCGTCCAACCTGGCTTCGGACAATCCCAGGGATGGGGCAGTCGCAGCTTCTCTGGGCAACCCGCGCCAGGGCTTCACCACCCTCTGAGTAAAACAATTCTTTCTTAAATCAAATTTATACGGACGTCCCTTGGGTTAAAGCCATTCCCCGTTCTCCTATCACAATAGCCCTGCTCAGAAGTTTGTTCGCAAAGGATGCAAAGAGCAGCCCAGTGCCTACGCTGCCGCTGGGCTCCGAGGGGCCGGGGATGTTTATTGCCGTTTGCCTGACATGCCACACCAGCAATAAAATGTCTGTGCAGTGTCGGAGGTATTTTTCTTGGGCCATTTGGAGGCCGGGGCTCTCCTTTCACTCCCTGTGGTCTTTTGAAGATGTTGGATCGCTCACGGCACGGTCAGAGCTGCAGGGGCAAAGGCACAAGTGCTGAACAGTTTAATTCTTGTGCTTATTGCCAGTCACAGAACTGCCTCCTCTGCTGGAAATCCTCTGCTGGGCACTGCTGCGGGTGAAGGGAGGGATGGAGCTCCTGAGAGGCAGCCAGGGGGGTTTTATGAAATGGAGAAAATGCTGCTTCTCCCCCAGCCAGCCCGGCCGGGTGCTGCAGAGATATTTGTCTCTGCTCCTATTACTGCTTTTCCAATAGCCAGGCCTCCCACGGAGACAGGATCTGCAACCTCTCAAGCCCTGCACAGATGGAAAGCACAGCTTTGAACTGAATTGGGCTCTTTCCCAGGGGGGAGGGTGTGCTGGTGGGTTGGTTTTTTTAAAAAGATAAGCCCTGCGTGATAAGGAAAACAGCATTAACAAACAATTACAGGACCTGACCCTCAAGAAATCATTTGTCACTGCAACCCCAAATCCATGTGAGGGAACAACACGCTTCACATTCGCCCACACCTCACCTCTGCTTGCTAGAAATGTAGCATGTGGCTTCCTGAGACTTTTCTCTCAGCTTTACAGTGGATTTTTGTGATAAATCCTCCTGTGACTCATCTACAGAACAGAAGTGTGAAGTCCAGAATTATATTTAATTATTACAGAAAATAAATCATGAGGGTACAATTATGCCCAGCTTGGAAAAGCTCCTCCCACTTCCCAGATGTACAAACAGAAGCACCTATAAACCCCCACGAGAAGTGGATTATTGCTGAGCCTGGATGACTTTGAGGTTAAAACTCAGCTTTGAGTTTTGCTCTGGAGGGTGCCACAGCCAATCCCAAATTCCTGACTGGCTGATGAGTTTCATGTCCAAGAACCACGGTGGTGGCTGGCTCAGCCCTTCACTGTCTTGTGCATAAACCCAGAACCTCACTTTTCTTATTTTCCATTTCCAAACAGGCACAGACACCTGGTTTGCTGCCCCAGAGCTGCCTCCCCTGTCCCCCAGGCTGGGTTCCAACACACTGCAGGTATTTCATGGTTTGCTGCTCCCTAGCAGCAGCCTCACCCTGGGAGGACCAGGAACAAAAGGAGTAAAGAACCACTAACATCTATTCTTACCCAAGGAAACTGGGATTTTTAAGGATCTCAAGAGTCACAACTTTGTCCTGGAGTCAGCAGAGAAAATGATGATGTAGCAACTAATTGCCAGAAAAGCAGTGCTCATTTATTAAGGGTTTTTTGTACTACACTCTTCTCTTCAGTGTTTCACTGGAAAGCAATCACACAGAAAGAAAGAAAATCTGTAAAACACTTCACTTTAAATAAATTTTTGGACTGTGGGAGGCTAAACAAGGGTGAAGGGCTTGGTATATAAAACATACAACAATGAACTTAAGAAATTCAATCTTTATTCTGTGAATATTTACAACATAAAAAGTAATACTCATATACTTCACATGTGTATCAAAAATAAAGCAAAAATCCAAGTTCTTAGAACAGTCTGATTCTCCTTGTCAAATTTCATGTTAAAGTTTTATATTAATCTAATCTTAGATACTTACAGAACCATCAGAAAGAAACAACACGGGTTTTTCCTCTTTAAATGAAAGATATCCTTGACAAATTTGGATTCCTGACATTATATTCTTTGATACACCAAGTGATTTTTTTCCCCTGAGGAACTTTAGTTATTACAACCTTATCAGCTTTTTAAGATCAGCCAAAACAAATCACCTTTTATATCACTAACAATGCAACCCGTTATTCAAGATGAACGAGTTTTAAACCACAAATTACACCAAAAAAGTAGTGTAAGAACAGAATTCAAACAAAAAGGTTGTGTTTAAACCCATCCCACGAGCTTTTTAAAGGCCTGACATGGGGTTTCTGTCCAGTGTGGGCTTGGCAGCAATGGCACATTATAGAGGTGTGAGAGGTCTCTGCCCCTCAAACCTGCACTGGGCAGCACAGCTTGGAGGAGTTTAGCAGGTGGGAAACTGGACAACTAATTCTGGACATTACTGTGGAGGTCTGGCATCAGAACATTTTCATTGTGGCCTGCATGCTGCTACTGAACTTCCATCCCATGTGGGTTGTGATATGGGATACATTCTAAATAACCACAAACTGGGGGTTTATAATCTGTGTAACCCATTAACTGTGGGGTTTGTGTTTGAGACAGGGACCCTCAACATCACAGCACTGTTTGTGAACACCAACATAGCATACATACATAACATACACAAATCCCACAAGCTGGGGAACTGCATTCCCCACCTTTTCACCTCTCAGTAGAGCTTCTAACCCAGCTCACAAACTGTTTCAGCCTCTGCAGGAATTTATTGCTGCTTATGCGCTCCTGGACTCTTTCAGAGTAGTTTTGGTCTTTCCATATGCCTTTATTTTTCTTCACAGCCTTTAACTCAGCCCGGAGGAGCCGTTTGTGCAGTTTCCAGTAGAGGTGGGAGTGGTGAGGCAGCCCCTCAATCCGGGCTGCTCTGGCCAGCCCTTGCCTCAAGAGCTCTTCGTTCAAGCACATGCTGAGAAATCCACCCTATAAAAACCACAATAAACAGATATTCAACATTGAAACAGGGTTATTTGGGGTTTGGTGTGAGCTCCCACAGAGGTACAAGTTTTACTCATGGCGGTATTGATGCTTTGGCAGAAGAAGTTAAAAGTGAAGAGGAATGCAAGTGACTAAAAACCCAACTCCAGTGTGATGGTGGGCAGGCCCTGGCACAGGGCTGTGGCTGCCCCTGGCCCCCTGGAAGTGCCCAAGGCCACCACCTGGGAAGTGTCCAGGAGCACCTGGGATGATGGAAGGTGTCCCTGCTGTAGGCTGGGATTGGATGATCTGTGGGTGCCTTCCAACCCAAACCATGCTGTGATTCTATAATGCAAGGAATTTGTGAGGGAACATTGAATAATAAACATTAGGCTAATCAGAACTACAGGATGCCTTTTTGGCCCTGGCAGAGAAACATATTCCTGCCATGAATCAGTCTGAAAAACTACTGCCCTGCAATCAGATTTGCAAATGCAACATTTAAATTCACACCAAGGAAGATAAATCATAACTAATACCATTTGTTAAATGTACTGAGATAACTGTGTGACTACAGTCACATGTAAAACTGCAGATAAGAGCCAGTTTTTGTGTCTCTCTTTACCTTATGGACTAGAACGAGGCACTCCAGGGCCGAGCTGTCCCTCCCCAGCAGCTGGAACCACAGGGGCTGTTTGGGGAGCAGCTCCCGCTGCAGCCAGGCTGTGCCACCTGGAGCCAGCTCCACCCCGGCCAGGCGGATCAGCAGGAGCCTCTCCGACTGCCCTGCAACGGAAAGGGACAAATCTGGAGCTGGAGGAAAGCTCAGGCTTTGCACAGACCCTCAGCTGTTGGTAATCAATTGATTCCAGTAGACCAAAAGAATCCCTTTTAGGTCCTCAAAGCAAACTGGAATTTGGTCTCATCTCTTCTTCAGGAAAAAAAAAAAACAACATATAAATTCAAGATTGCCTAATTCAAAATGAGTTTTGGTTTATTTTGCCTGCAAAGAAAAAGATCTGCTCCCACTCTCAGTCCAAAGGGGCAGAATCATCAACACCTGCTGGTGTTTGCACAGCCAGTGTGAGAGTCACACTTTGTTTCTGACCAGCAAAACTGTCCCCAAAAATGGGTGTGTGCAAATAAAAGCACAATCCCAACAGAGGCTTTTTGCCAGGAATGAGATGAGCTGTGCAGGCAGAAGCACTGTCTGAGTGCTCGCTTCTGCTGCTGGAAAGTATCACAGTAAGGATTAACACAAACACTGTAGTGACAAACCCTCTGTGCAGGTCTCCTCATGCCTTTTATTCCCCAGTTTGCCACCTGCAAAGCACAGAAAGACCAAAAGGCAGAGCTGGAAATGTGCCCCAGCCCTTCCTCTCAAGCTTGCAGGAACTCCAAGAGCAGCACATTTCATTTCTGCCCTGCTCTTCACGCTGTTTTCCTCATTACTCACATTTTCTCTGGATGGTTGAGATGAAAGGAATGCTGATGGGAACATGCTCAACTTCCAGGCCCTTCTCTGTGATGTGATGTAATTTCCCTCTCAATTTCACATTCTTTTCTATGAACTCCACAGGTATATCCAAAGGACTTGTGAACTTTGTTGTCTATTGATGGTAGGAAGACAAAATTTTAAGAAAAAATATAGAGCAGTTACAGCCACACTAAATGCAACTTCTTAAAACAGTTTAGGAAATTACACCTCTATTATTAGACACCATGGGCAAGTAAATATAGATATATAATTAGCAGTGATCAGCTGCAGAAGGTGTGCCAGCCTCTCCACACTTACCATTTTCCCTGTTTTAAAGGACTTGCAACATCAGCACGGACATAAAAAACAGGTTTAGAGCAAAACCAGAAACTGCCATTTTTCAAGCAATGCCTATTGAAGTTCTCCTGATTCCCCGAGAAAAGAGTGTTTCAGGAACAGCCTGAAAGGGGCTGGGATAGGGGTGAAAGGAAGGCAAAGGACAGACACGCTGGAAACAAAGGCGGAGCAGGGAGGGCAGAAACAACCCCGCCTTTGATGCCAGAGGAAACCAGGAGAGGGACAAAGGCAGGTGAACAGCTTGGAGAAGATCACAAGAAGATTAAATTTGATACTACAGCCTGGGGGGATCCAAAGGGGATGGTTATGTGATCACACAGGAAAACCAAGCTGAGCAACAGCAAAGACTTGGGCAGTGGCAGAGGAATGGAGCAGCCACAGGTTTGGGGTGAGGGACAAGGACATGTGAGACCTCAAAAAAATTAAGACCCCCAAAATTTTCAGACACTGAGGACTCCCTGCAAGAGGCCTTAGCAGAGCACTGACCTACATCTACAGAGCTGTGAAACCCACTGAGCACAGATGTACAAGTGCTGGGAAATAAACCCCCCAAAACACCACAACTAAAAATGTGTCTCCTGTGTGTTATTTACTCAGCAAACCTCCTCCTCTGCGGCCCACAGAGCCTCCCACTGGGAACACGGGAACCTGGGACCTTGCAGGCAGGAAGCCTGAAGGTTTTCAGGAAAAAGAATTGTTCAAAGCTGATCTCATGTGCTCTGGAAGCTCCACCAGCCAGGTTAATGCATTCACAGGCCCTTGGGTCAAAACCAATCGAAAACCAGAGAAAAATAATTCTGGCAGCATTTGTAGTTCAGGTTTTCTGGTAGGATTTTTAAAAACTCCACACAAATGTTCTCTTGTATCATTTGGAATTGGGCAGGGTGAAAATGAAGGTAACTGTGATTTTTTTAAGCAGCTGGGACCTTGTGGGAGCACAGTGGCTGGCTGGAGGTTCAGCTTCTGCAGGAGTGAGCAGCGTGGCGCTGGTCCAGTGTGACCTGACCACCCTGGGAGTGAGGGAAGATTTGGGTGATGTTTAAAACCATTCAGAAGCAGTTCTGTGTGTGGAAGGACAGGGAATACGCGAGGCAAGCAGCTGTTTCAGCTGTGTTTGGACAAGGGAGGGTGCTGGAGCTGCACGGTGGGACCAGCAAAGGGACCATTGCCCCTCCCAGGGCCTCCAGGAACAGGCGAGAACAAGAGACCCGTGGAGATGCCTCAGGACAGCGATATCGAGCCTCTCAGAACCCGAATCAAACTTTGCTGGCTTTTTTTCACTTGTTAATCAGTAGCTGTAGCAGGACCGTTATGATTAAGCAATCGCATTGTGAACCTTGCACGCTTGGCTAATCTTTAGTTTTCAGGAAAAGGGAAGACAATGCCCAGATGAATGGGCTGTCTGGGCGGGAGCCAGCAGGAGTGGGGCTGAGCCGTCCCTGGGGAAAGGCAATTCCATCAGTGGGACAGCGCGACCACTGACCAGCAGTGACCAGTAGTGACCAGCACTGACCAGCAGTGACCACTGACCAGCACTGACCAGCTCAGACCAGCACTGACCAGCTCGGACCAGCAATGACCAGCTCGGACCAGCACTGCCCAGCAGTGACCACTGACCAGCACTGACCAGCCCGAACCAGCAGTGACCAGCTCGGACCAGCCCTGACCACTGACCAGCACTGACCAGCACTGACCACTGACCAGCACTGACCAGCCCTGACCACTGACCAGCCCTGACCACTGACCAGCACTGACCAGCACTGACCACTGACCAGCACTGACCACTGGCCACTGACCAGCACTGACCACTGACCAGCATTGACCACTGGCCACCCCCGCCACAGGGAGCCCGGGCTCACACGGAGGGAAGGGCTGGGCCTGCGGGCTGGTCAGCGTGAGGAACAACAGACAGCGCTAACACACACGGGGCTGCATGCGAATTCATAGAAAAGTTATGGAATCTGTAAGAGTGAATGATGATGCTTTGTTAAAATATATAAATAACGTTAAGTATTGAGGAGCAGGGAGCCTTTCGCGGGAACCAGCAGCTCCTGTTTTGTGCAAAACAGAACAAAACACAGCAATGCTCTGGCGCTGCCGCCGGGAACAGCCCGCGGGCGGGACAGCCACGGCCATGAGGCACAGCGGGCCCTGCCCCTCCGCCCGCGGGCCCGACCGGCCGTGCCGGGCTCTCCCGGCCTCAGGGGGGCCGTGCCGGGCTCTCCCCGCTTCCGAGCGGCCGTGCCGAGCTCCCCGCATCCCCCTGTTCCGTGTCGGGCTCCCCGCATCCCCCTGTTCCGTGTCGGGCTCCCCGCATCCCCCGGTCCCGCACTCACCACGCGGAGGCTCCGCGCCAGCAGCAGCACCCCGGCCACGGCCGCGCCGGCGATCAGGCCCTGCAGAGGAGAACGGGGCTCAGCCGGGCCCAGCGGGCCCTCCCGGCCCGGTGCCCGCCCAGCCCCGCTGCCCGCCCAGCCCCGGTACCCGCAGCAGCCCCAGGTGCGCGTCCGCCCACTCGGAGAGCCGGGCCAGGGCCAGCGCGGCGCGCTCGGAGCCGCCGCCGCCCCGCTCCGGCATCGCCGCGTCCCGAGCGCCCCCGCGGGAGCCGCCGAACAGCGCCCGGGAACCGGGACACGGAACCGAGACTGCGCCCGGGAACCGGGACACGGAACCGGGACTGCGCCCGGGAACCGGGACACGGAACCGGGACTGCGCCCGGGAACCGGGACACGGAACCGGGACTGCGCCCGGGCCGCCGTGCCGGGGAGCGACACCAGCCCCGAGCAGCCCCGCCTAGACACTGCCAGGGTCCAGGGTCGGCCACAGCTTCTCTGGGCACTCTGTTCCAGGCCCTCCCCACCATCACGGCCAGGAATTCCTGCCCAAAATCCCATCCATCCCTGCCCTCTGGCACTGGGAGCCATTCCCTGTGTCCTGTCCCTCCATCCCTTGTCCCCAGTCCCTCTCCAGCTCTCCTGGAGCCCCTTCAGGCCCTGCAAGGGCTCTGAGCTCTCCCTGGAGCTTCTCCTCTCCAGGCTGAACTCTGCATTGAGCTTCTCAAACCTGTACCACACCTCCCCTGACCTTTCAGATGCTCCTTTCTTCTCAACATTTTAAATTCGGTTTGTTATTCTTGTTGGTTTGGGGTTTTTTTTGGTTTTTTTTTTTGTTTTTTCATTTATTTTTTATGTTAAAGATGTTTAAGTCTGCAATCATTCTAATGTTAAAAAGAAAAATCCTTTTCAAACAGAGTAGGTAGAAAAAAAGTAGCATGATCAAAATTTTATGGGTGCTCTTCAGCAGTCTGCTAAGGGGCTGGCACAGCAGCAATATTTCCAATTTACAAAAAGCTACTTAAATTAAAAGCACTAATCCATAACTTGTTTCACCAGTTTGAAAAAGGACACTGTTACTTATTTCAGGTAACATAACTGATTCCTACCGATTTGGAGTTTATGTGCAATTTTGATGTTGTTGAGACAATCTAATTATTGATAAACAATCCTTAACCCATCTTTATTAGTGACAAGTTTCACCGGCACCTTTAGAAATAGTGAAAAAAAATTGCAAAGTAAAACCCAAATCTAATACACAGGAAATGTAATTTCTCAGCTTCTGCACTTGAAGTTTTTCCTCACAATCAGAAAAGTTAAAACAACCTCTCTAGGTATGCACAAGATGCAATGAAATAAGCTGTCCATACAGAATTGAAGTGCCTCACAGAGTTAATGCAGTGGAGATGGTGGGACTGAAAGATACAGCCATAAATCTGAGATATTTTTATGTTGATTTTATTCTTTTGCAGAGGGAAATTGGAAGATGTTCAGCTTGGGCAGTAGAACCCATGTGATCTCACTTAGCACGAGTGTGAAGCAAGGTGAGAGGGAGGGGACAGGGGACAGTGACGAGGTCACAGTGTCCTGTTCCAGGCCCCTCCTCACCCCTGATGCCAAGGAGACCCTCTGTACACCCACCCACCCTCCCCAGGCACTCCAAAGGTGGTACTGGGTCACTTTTCCCCCAAAACACACAGTAGCAGAAGATTTCAAACCTCCTCCCAGCCCAATCCTTCAAACATTGACAAGAAACATGACAGAGAACCTTGTGCACCTTTCCAAGGGATGTTTAATGGTTTTCCTTTTTAATACCAATGTTCCACATACACCCAGCGGGGTCCGAGTGCCTCTCCAGCACCTGTGGGTCCCTAAGGCACTCAGGAGGGAGCTCAGTGGGAGAAATCCAGCGGGAATGTTTCCACCACATGGCACCAGCAGTCAATTCTGCAGCAGCTCTGCCACAGGACTGCGCCCGTTTGGTTTGTGAGGGCGAGTCCTGCACCCTGGGAATTTGGCAACTTTGTCATCACCAACTCTTCTCACCCCTGGCTGGGGGAAATCTCGGTGCTCCCACGGCTTTGAGAGCGAACGTTCAAATTTTAGTAATACGGGCTGGAAAACCAGGGGATTGGTTTTCCTCTATCAACTCACCCCTTCCAAAGGCCCACGTGCCCTCCCTTGGGAAGCACCTCCAGTTCCAGCTGCAGGACTCAAGGCTCAGAGGATTGTGCGTTACTCCAGTTCTACCTTACAGCATTTTGCGGTCAAGAAAGTACCTTGAACGTAAATCAAACTGCCTTGAAACAGCGGAAATAAATTAAACAAATGTAATTTGCTTATAAAAATATTTTCTTATAAATCTTTAAAGCTTATAAAAGCCAGAAAATACATTTAAAAGAATCTCTGGAACATTTCATCCTTTGAGGCGTGGTTACAGTTCAGAAAGTGAGAAGAAGCAAAGCCCACAGACATCTCACACGGATCTTCCCACATGGAATTCCAAAGTACCATGCCTAACCTCCAAGTCAGAATGCCTTGGGCATCCTTCCCCGGGTCAGCTGCCCTGTCAGATCATTTCTGTGTGAAAATAAAAGCTGGCACTCAGCTGGCAATGCTGCTGCCTCTAGAGCCACGGCACAAGGAGCGTTCCCAGAGGTGCCCTACGGAATCAGCAGCTCTGGGGTCAGGGGTAAGCATGGAGCACCGAGGTGCTGCTTCAGCCGTTCCTTTCTGAGCTGAGCCTGTGCTGTGGGGAGGGCAGCGGTGCCACACACAGCCCTGCCTCGGCCACACAGATCTCCCTGGCGTGGCCCAGAAACACCGAGATCCCGGGGTGCTGATTATGGGATAAGTCCTTGTAATAAAACTAAAACCACCTCGCTGCTCCATCCAACACCTAAGTGCATCAATTGCTCCTCTTGCACTTCCATGAAGACGGTCCTTCTTCCTGCAGCTTTTTGAATTTTGGTCCGAGGAAGAACCACCAGGCAAAGCCCAGGATGAGGCAGACGACGGACTCCACGTAGTACCCGTCCAGGGTGGTCAGGCAGGAGCCCCCAGCTGCTGAGCACAGCTACAACAGAGCACAGGGAAATGCACTGAGCACACAGCACTGCACAGCTGACGGGGTCTCCTTGCTCCTGGCCATGACTAAATAGAGTTGTTTACTATTTGCTGTTTTCTGTGCAGTTGGGAGAGAGGCTTTTGAGCTTATCAGCAGCATGAAAAGTAACAAAGTACCAAACCCGCTCTAAACATGTGGGAAATGGAGCACATCAGCCCAAAGGGCAAACTCCAGAAAACAGAAACAGCCCCACTGTCCGTGCTGGCCTGCAGGTACAACCACTGTCCCAGCCTCATGAAGATGATTTCTTTCCTAGCCATCCATGCTGGGGGCTCCCCAGATCTGGAAATATCCAAGGCAACGCTGGACGGGGCTTGGAGCAACCTGGGATAGTGGAATGAGTCCCTGCCCATGCCAGGGGGTGGGACTGGATGGACTTTAATCCAAACCAAACCACTCCACGATTCTGCAATTCTGTATCTGGGAGAAAGGTGCCCAAGATGGTTCTGAACTGGAAGACAAACCCCCAGCATTCACAAGGTGATTGTACAGCCCAGGATTGTTTCTGCTATTCTCTGGCTTTCAACACTGCTCTAATCCCAGGATTAATCACTTCTCTGAGCGAGGGCTCTGCCAGCATTTTCATTATTCTGAGACATGTCAAGATCAGATTAGGAATAAGAATGGAGTGTGGTGGAGTGTCACCAGCCAGGAGGAGGAGTGAGGTGAAGGAGGAAGGACTCAAGTTCAGTAGAGGCTGAGACACAAGGAACCTAATTAGTGACAAGCTAATGAGCGAAAGGCTGGGAAAGCATCCACTGCAGAAGCAGTTTGCCCTCTGCACCAGCAAAAACTGCAACTCCAGACAAGTCCTGCTGGACTCCAGAACACTTTGATCCTTTATAGAACCTCCATGTCCTAGAGCATCCTGGCATCCAGGAGTGAAATAAATCTCAGTCATGAGCACAGAAAAAAAACCCCCAAACATTTCCACTCTTCAGCCATGTCAAATGTCTCATTTGCTGTGAGGAGGTGAATTTGAAATGTTGCTTTCCCAGCAGTTTTCTGTCCTGTTGTTTGATCTGTCTACAGCAAGTTCTTTGTTCTCTTCCACAGGCTCTTAGAACTGGGCAGGCAGCCAGTCCCACTTGATTTCATGGGGAAAGTGGACACCAAAATCAGAGAGCAGAGCAGCATCTTGGAGAAGTTATCAAGGCAGGCAGATAAGAAGCCTCCAGGGAGACAGGAGGAAGAAAAACCTGCCACAGAAATGGAGGGCCCTGGGGGACCTGCCAAGGACAGAGTCCCTGATTGCACAACTCAAATCCATACCTACAGCCTCCTCCCACTGCACAGAATGTGGCACCAGTCTGGTGCTTCTACCCCAGCTCAGCACAGGAAGAAAGGGCTCACTACCCTGCAGCTGCAAACCCTGGGGAAGGGGTTGGTTATTGAGAGTGTGCAGGTGCTAACAGACTGGATTTTATCAGGCAGGAAAATGAGCTTGATCAGTGGGAATTTTTAAGCACAAGCTATACACTGTAAAGGTTTTCACAGGCAAAAAAATACCACAAGAAGCCATTTAATTGAGACATTGAGCAGAGACCCCCCAGCCCCAGCCTCACCTCTGCGGCCGCCGTGGTGGCACAGGTGTGGCCCTGGGCCCCGGCACACTCCTTCACCGTGAGAGGGTCCACCAGCCACAGGGCCACCGTGGAGGGCCAGTTGCCCCCCAGGTTGGAGACGGTGTTGAGCAGGGTCATGTAGGTGCCCCCGATGAGCGGGTCGCTGACCTTGGCGTTGAAGGCCATGATGGCCACGTACATGCTGTACAGTGTGATCTGAGGGGACAAACACAGCTCACAGCGTCTGTCCCCTCGTGCAGAGACCACTGAAACCCCCAGCACGAAAACCCTGCTGAGAGATCCCCTGAGCTCAGCAGCACCGACTGGGAAATCACCCCAGCAGCAGCAGCAGCAGCAGCAGCTCCTCCTGCAGCCTGGCCCGGTGCTGACACTGGGAGTGGCCTTGCTGCTTGTCTGGAGTCACTGACACAGACCCAGCCTCGCATGCACTGGCATCACTCGGGTTATCAAACTGAAATACAATCAGCCAGCTAAAATAGCACCTAAACACAACCCTGCTGCATTGAAGATCACCTCTCAAGGCACTGCATA